TCCAATAAAGGATGGAGATTCTCCTTGGCTCTCTTCTTGTCATTAATATATTTGTAAAAACTTCTTTTGCTGTCTTTAACGACAGCGGCCAGATTGCATTCTAGCTGGGCTTTTGCCTTTCTCATTTCCTCTCTGCATGACCTAACGAGATCCCTGTACTCTTCTTGAGTCGCCTGCCCCTTCTTCCACAAGCGGTAAACTCTCCTTTTTTTCCTGAGTCCCAGCAAGAGCTCCCCATTCAGCCAGGCCGGGCTGGTATTTCAAATCTGATTTCCCAATTAAAAAGCCTGCAGGTTCGCAGCAGGTAAGATGTTGTTGCAGCCATGTATATTAGCGATGCGCCATTGTCTGCGTTGCAGACAATAACCTAGCCTCCTGAGAGCCAGTCAGAAGCGATGTTTGTGTGGCTGGGAGAAAGTACATATTGCAACAGCTGCTTGGGAGACAGGAAATGAGAGTAGAAACTTGTCTTGGTTTTGTTTTCTATTCTCGCATTTGAGCCACTCATCTCCACCTGAATTTCTCCCTGTATATTACTGTCATCTATAACGGCTGGGAAATTGTGTGTTGTTTTCCAGGCTTTGATGCATCATCTATAAAGAAGATAGTGTTTTAGGAGACTTAGGTTTTAGTGTAATTTAATAAAGTAAATTATTAAAAACTATGGCTTCTTGCTTCTGTGCAAAAGTTGACTAATATTCAGTGACTTAGCTGAAAAACTTCTATCTGTGCCAGCACAAAATTTCTGCAATTGTGTTATATACCGAACTGCGGAGCTGAAAAATGGCTGCAATTTTAGAGCTCCGTTAGTTTAGCATGTGACTCTTCAGGGTCATAGGCCCATTGCTAAGGAACTACATTAAGCTGCCATATTCACCAAATAAACATATGTGCAAGCGTAGCACCATAATAAAGTTGGGGACAGCTATTCCATATAGCTGGCAGTGTTGCAAGACTAACATTCGGCAGATTGATTATGTATGTATTCCTGCTAGACAAGGCTCTGTTGTGTGCTACATATGGATTTAAGTAACTTTGGAAGAGTTACTATCTGACATCTTCACTGGAATTAAACACTTTAAAATATGTTCACACTTAAACTGTTTAATTTTTGCTTTTTAGTATCCCACCCTTGTTTGCTTTCTTTCTCTTCAGATAATGCTTATGATCCAGATGTGAGTGCTAAACAGATATGGATAGACAAAACAGTGATAAACGACAATATATGCTTGACATTCACTGATAATGGAAATGGTATGAACTCAGAGAAGCTGCACAAAATGCTAAGGTGGATAACCTCTTTTGCAATTTTTTTCTTGTAGAAATTCCAGATTCTAGTTCTGTTATTGCTCAGCTTATTCCTTTTTCTCATATGTAATCAACTAATTTTGTTCATAAACTTAACATTTCTGAAGGTGATTATCCAAGTGAGACTCTACAATAGACAGAAGCTAGTTAAACTTTCACACAACTTTGTCAGTGTATTTTTATCTCATAATTTCCTTTTATCCTTTCTGTCAACCTTCCAATTTAGAGATTTTAGTATAAATCTCTGGGTTTAAATTTGAGCAAGCTTGAATTCAAACTGTTATTTTTCTTTTTCTGTTAGGTACCATAATTAATAGCTTGCTTGCTAAATTCTGTGTTCCATATACAGTTACCTGGTTTACTTTAAATGTGATGTGTAGTTACTAATGGAAAATTTGTAGATCACACATTTTCAAGCAAGTAGGGGGGGAAGCTTTAGGGGTTTTTCTTAGTATTTATTGTGAAGCCACAGGATAACTATTAGAATCCTGTAAGAATGCTTATTGCATAATTCCAGACAGGTGATATTTCTTTTCCATACTTAAAGATGAAAGTAAATTTCCCTGAATTCTTGCAGTGTGATTTTAGCAATGTTATACAGGTAACTTTCAGGATTTTCTTGACTGTACATTGTTTAATTGTACAGTAGTCTCTCGTCTCTAAAACAAGAGATTAACTCGTGTTTAAGTCTAATTTGGTAAGTCTTGCATGCATCTTTTGGGTTTTCAAGTTTTACAGGGCTTTTTACACTCTTCTAATGTTTCCATATGTTTCAGCTTCGGCTTCAGTGAGAAATCTGTGATGAATGGCCGTGTTCCAGTGGGACTGTATGGAAATGGGTTTAAATCGGGGTCCATGCGCCTGGGAAAAGATGCAATAGTCTTCACCAAGAATGGAGAAACCATGAGTGTGGGCCTGTTGTCTCAGACTTTCCTTGAAGTCACAAAAGCAGAACATGTCATGGTTCCTATAGTGACGTTCAACAACAAACATATCCTTTCAACAATTTCTGAATGAAAACTTGTGGGTACATGCAAAATTTGGATGATAATATCAATAAAGGAAATCTCATTGTCTAGTCTTATGGGTACCCTAAGTAAATTGTAAGATGCAAGGAAGGCTATAATTTGTTAAGGCCTTTAAATTTGTAGGAGCTCTGAGATGTAGAATGAGAACCTGTGAAGTGAGTACAGGATGCTGTTGCAGAAGTTTCCTCATCTTCTGAAGCTTACTTTATTCAAAGTTAGTCTCCTTAACATAATGCTTACGACAGATAAATGATCCAACAGAATCAAAAAACAGCCTGAAGGCCATCTTAACACATTCTTTATTTTCTACTGAGGAGAAATTACTGGCAGAGCTAGATGCTATAATAGGGAAAAAAGGAACAAGAATTATCATTTGGAATCTTAGAAGGTAAGATGAAGTCCAGTCTCTTATATCTCTCATTTAGTTTATATTATCTTTCAGCGCATGCAAACATACAAGGGGTTTTTTGTAGAATAATTCCAAAAGACTGTGGGCAGTTTGAGTCTGGTTTCCCGGTTACACCTAACTCGCATGATTGAAGGGCTGTAATGTTGCATAAGAAATTTTGCTAATATCTCAAGTAACATAGCAGAAGGAAGGAGAATGTAAAGGACTTCATGTTTTCCTTTGATAAGATACTGTTGCTTTTGCCAGAAGGAAAATTTAAATAGATAAATTATAAATCTGATATTTCAGACCTATGAAATTATGAATGCAAAAATTCAAACAAAAAAATATTTGTATGTACAGGCAAGTATTAATGGCTTTTTAAGTTTGGAGTCAGCAGTGTTCTTCTGTAGGGATCTAGACCTTTCTAAACTTCTCAACTGTTACCATAAAATAAATAGAAATCCAAGTACATAAATACAGTTGTGTGTATTTGTCTTATTTGTCTACTTGCCCCTGGGATTGTGGACGGCAGTATAGATTTCCAGCCTCTTCTAGCTTTGACTTGCTTGTTGCTTTTTTTTTTTTAAACAGCTGTTGCTGTAGCAGTGGCAGATGGGTGTCATCACTTCCCATCTCCTTTCCCTTTCCTTCACATCTTTGTTGCTGCCTTATTAGCAGGGAACCTGTCTGATGGTCTGTCCAGACCATCTATTATTTATAATATGTTGCAATCAAATCTACTTTAAAAAAAAACAGAGCTGTTTCAGTATTAAAAGACTTTATTTCTGGAATATTTGTGCCAACTATGATGTATCTCAATGTTGTGCAAAGGTACTGCCAGCATACTGCAGTGTATATCTCTGCAACTAATTACAGTGTATACATCTGGTGAGTAGTGCAATAAGAAATTGTGATAACTCTTGAGTTGGAAAGCTGTGGTGAGTGTCACTTTTGCAGCACTAAAAATCTTAGGAAGGCAATTTGCAGTGTTCAGAAATTTTGCATTTAGAAGGAATGTGTGTCTTGGTCCATCCAGAATTTAAAGCTGATACTGACTGCTTTTATTTTTGAAGTGTGACCTTTTTAGAATTAAGTTAGAATTCATGAATGTCTCGCTATCACTTCTCTTGTATCCTTGGATATCAGAAAGGAACTGGTGAACTTTTTTTATGTGAATTTTAGCAAATCTGTGAAGAAAACCACCGTGGTTCAAAGGAATTCCCTTTCTCTTGCATCTTTGTGATACCTGCTGGGTGTACCACAATATCTTATCTCATGTTGGCTTTTTCTTTTCATAATTAGTATTTTTTTAATCTTATTTCTTAGAGATAAAAATGAAAAAACAGAATTTGACTTTGACAAGGATAAATACGATATCAGAATTCCAGAAGACTTAGATGAAACAGGCAAAAAAGGATATAAAAAACAAGAGAGACTGGACCAGATTGTTCCAGAAAGTGACTACTCACTGCGAGTACGTATAACATTTTTTAAAATTTATTTGTTTGTTTATTTTTGGAAGCTGGAGGGTGTATGTCTTTGTTTTAATATAATGTACTATACTACAGAAGTGTTTGGGGGGGAGGACGAATGTCAGAATTTAAATGTTAGGGCAATATGTCAACATTAATTTTGAAAATTGAAGGTGAAATGTATTTGTGGACTTGTGTAAACATTTGCTGTTTATTTAGAAGAGAATTACTGGGTTTTATGTAGTCTTGCAAATAACATTTTTGCTGTTTAAACGTAGCCAAAGGAGCAAGAAGGAAATGCAGTCAGTAGCTTCAGAAATTAAATAGGGATGTGTGTGGTTGTCAGCAGGGTAAACATTCCATTGTAGTGGAGGTATACATGCATATAGTACTGACGCTATGCTCATGTGAATCTTTTAAAACAGATTGGTTTTGGTTGGCAAAGTGTCATTTCTAGGTTTCAAAAAGAGGTACAGGAATTGGGAAGCAGCTCCATTGTTTGAATACATGCATGCAGATAGGGACAAGGCTTTTCTGTAGGCTAATTGATACAACCATTGTCTCCACTATTGATTCATAAGTTTTGAAGGCTTCTTTTTGTAAGAAAATGCATCTGCAATTACTAGGTGTTCTGGGCACTTCTTGTGGATAATATTCAGAAGTATTATTCCAGTTGAACTAAAACCTTCAATTATTCTAAGGCTTTCTGAAGTCCTATATCCACTTCAATTATTAGAAGCTGTAAATATAATGATAAAAGAAATGCAAATTAAAATTCAGATCTACATGTTTATAAGAAGATTGCATAGCTATTATCAAGCTATGATAATATGCAGTCGTTTGGAATAAAGTTAACACACTTGCTTTTGTTTGTAATTTTAAAGTTTGTAGTAGAATTTTTAAGCTCTGAATAGGGGATAAGAAAAGAGAGGCTTGTGTGTTTGAGTGCTTTTTTAGTGGTAAAACTTCATCTTCAGACACCTGACTAACTTGTCATATTCATAAAAGTTGTCCTTCAATTGGTATTCATTTAATTTGTGATATATGTATGCTTATTATGCACACTTGCATTTCCTATTTTTCTGGATTCAAGTTGAAAAAAACCGCATTTCATACAATTAATTAAAACTTGAGTTCATCTTCCTAAACATAATGCCTTGTAAAATATCCATATCTTGAGGTTTTGGGGTTTTTTAATAACAGGAGTTACTGTATGTTTTGTAGGCTTATTGCAGTATCTTGTATCTGAAGCCAACAATGCAGATCATTCTGCGAGGACAAAAAGTGAAAACACAGCTGGTTTCCAAAAGCCTTGCCTTCATCGAACACGATATATATAGGCCAAAATTTTTGAATGTATCCTTTGCTAATATTTACATCATTGCATGCTGAATTTAATGATGTGACGTTTAATGTAAGCTGTCTGCATTCTGCTGGGTATGTTGCAGTTATACTCGTGATTTTTTTTTTTTTTTTTTTTTTATACTGAAGGAATTACCTCAATATAAAAAAATAAGTTCCAGGACCCAGTTTAGAATGAACACTCAGAGTAACTGTATTTTTGTGTTACATGAGATTAACCAGATTTTTCCTTAATATCTGGTAAAAGGCTAAAACAGTGAGAATTACTTTTGGATTTAACTGCAGAAACAAAGATCATTATGGAATAATGATGTACCATAAAAACAGACTCATCAAAGCTTATGAAAGAGTTGGTTGTCAGTTAAAGGTAAGAAATTAAAGATCAAAAATATTTTAGCATCTTTAGAAACAATTTTCATTCAAACGCTGATTTTAAAAAAGAATACGGATGGAAACTAGGATGTTGATGTATCCTTTATAAAACCACGTTTTTTCGTTTGTGTAGCAGTTAAAAATTGTATTAAATTGTATACAGTTGTTTTAATGTTTGTTTTTGAAACTAAGCTTGATACACAAAATATGGGTCTGAGCATTCCTTTCAGGACAAAAAGAGGGGTTGAACAGAGGATTTTTTATTTAGGGGGTTTGTGTCGAGAGTTTCTTTTTGCAGAGGAGTTGTAAGCCAGAAAATTGTTTTTACCTAGTGTATATATAGTTTATAATTACCTCTGACAAACTCTTGCAGTATTAGCATAGAATATATGTTGTTTTTCCTGATGTATCTTAATTTCTTATAGGCAAACAACATGGGTGTTGGTGTAGTTGGGATTATTGAATGCAACTTCCTAAAACCAACTCATAACAAACAAGATTTTGACTACACAAATGAATACAGGTAAATGTATATTATGTAGACTTTCTGTTGAATAGTGTTGTTCACTGTGAAATACTTGACAATAAAGGCTTCTTCTTTTCTAAGTAGTAAGAATAAAAGCTTATGTTCCGTCATTAAACTGCATGACTGTTCTGAACAGTAGGGGTGGGATGTTTGCATCTACACTGGTCATACTGCATTCATTGTGCAGTCAGTAAGTCTAGAGTATCATACACATCATTTTAAAGCAAGTGCCCTAAAAGTGGTTGGTTGCAATTCTGCTCCTCACTGATTGTAAAATGAGCACGAATAACTCACTGAGATGTGGATATTTGTATGGCACGTGACTAAAATTGCGATACATGAATCCACACTATTAACTTTTTTCATAACAGTTTTTGTTTGGTGGTTTTTTTGGAAAAGCTTTGCTGGATATTTTTGAGCCCTTCTTTTCAATTTCTTTCCGAAGAGTGGACTTGAATGCCCTCAAATTCTCTGCTACCTGATAGAGCATTTAAAATACCTGACATCCTGAAGGCAGCAGTGATTTGGGACATTGCTTTGTTTCAGTTTTTATTTCTAACTCAGGGTTGCCACTTTTTCACATATCTGCATCCATCCTAGCAGTCAGTATCTAGTGTGATATTTCCTGTAGTTAAACTGTGAACCAGATGGGGAATCTAGCCTGATGTAAAATTTTCAGAGATGAAAATTGTTTTTAAGCCAGGTGAATTTCCTAGTCTGTTTACCCTGCTCTGCTGCGAATCAGTTGTGCTGGCACTGGGGAAGGAGGCATGTGGGGGAGGAAAGGCTAGAGGGGATGAGTTACCTAAGCAGTTTTCAGGCTGAGGTGTTTAAAAACTGTCCAGGGAAAATTTCCTGAATACAAACCTTGAGAATTGTTCCACTCTGTATTACTTTATTTCCTTTCATCATGACAAGGCTGTTTTCTGTGCTGCTTCATATTAAGGGATATTAGGAGCGGCCACCTCCTCCAGCAGCTCTGTCCCAGGACTCCCTCGAGCCCAGCCGGGGGACCCAGGGTTTCTGCCCAGGCTGAGGGCCATGACTGCCACTTTCCTGTTTGCAGGTTCAACCAGTAGCAAAGCTGAGTGCGTGTCCCAGAGAGACACACACAGAGGACACTGACATGGCTGGTTACACAGACTGCCACAGACAAGGTTCACCTACATATAGGACTCAGATAAAGCATAGACAGCCAAGTCTGTCCTTCCTCCTAGCGAAGGCACACAGATGACACTCTGGGTTCACAAGCACATGTACACTTGTGGATCCCCTGAGTACCAGCACGGCCCCTCTGTCCTCCCGGTACCCCTGCCTGGATCCTAGGCCATCTTCACAGGTCCCCTACGTGCTGGCTAGTGCAGTTTGATGTTTGCTAGCAAACGTGTGCACTCACACACTCATACCACAGGCACTCCATATTCGCAAGTTCCCCTGCGTATACTAGCACAAATCCTTGCCTGCCTGATACCCCTGCCTGGACCTGGGGCCTCCTGTTCACTGCTGAGTCCAATTTGGAGTTTGCCAGCAAATACACATGCACACCAAGACACCGGGACTGGGGAAGATGCAGACACTTGTCCCCCTGCCAGCACCAGACACATGGGCTGTGACCCACAGTCCTGCTCCAGCTGCCAGTGCTGAGTCCCTCGCTCATGCTGGTCCATCCCAGGAGCTGGTTTTTGGGGGACACACCATTCCTGCCTCAGTGGGTGGCAGCTGAGACCCCCACTTGCTCCAGTAGCTGACACCACACACCTGGTCTTGACTCCAGGAGCTGGCACCAAATCCACTCACACACAGATGCACAGCTCTCACCAGCAGCAGGCGCTCAGTCCTTGCCATACACGTACACATGGGATAGAGAATGAGATTATGTAGAGAGTTAAAATATTAAATAAGAAGATACAAGAAGATAGGACAGACTGCAGTGATCAGGCACAGGGCTCAGCCAGACATCTGTACTGACCGAACCTGTTTTACATGCAACCAGCTACTTTTATACTCTTTCCTATCTACCCCCCTGCTTTGTTCCGCCCTGCTCCCTCTTCCCCGTGCACATTGCCTTATCAGTTGGCATAGTTCCACTGACCCCCTCCAAACATCCTGCACCCTCATGTTTGCATCCTTATCAGTTGCAAAATCCCAGTTTGCCTGCAGTTTCTTGATAGCCTGTCAATTAGTGTGACTGACCAGGTTTATTTCTGGTTATTGTCTTTGTTAATGCTAATTGGTTAGGTTTTATGACTCTCTGTGTTTGTCTCCTTCCCTTTCCTTACTCTCCCAACTGAAAAAATAAACATTCTCACACTGTACATATCCTTACCAGTTAGTGTGACTGATGAGGTTTGGTTTTACCACTACTTCCCTTGTTGATCGGGTTTGTCTCTGTATGTTCTTGTTTATGGCTCCTTTGACCATGTGCCCTTAAAGGAGGAGGCACTTTCCTTCTATGTGCCCTAACACTTGCTTTCAGTGTGGACTTAGAAATTTAGGGTATTGACTTGCAAACATAGGTGGTGTAAACTTTGGCAGGAAAAGTCATTACCTTTTTCAAGCCGCATGTTTTGCCCTTCAGCCAGTTGTGGTTCAGCTTCCACTGGCAACCTGAACTGTCCACAAGGCCTTTACTGAATTACTGATTTATACACAGCTCTGCATATAAAGATAACCCAGAAACCACACCAGAGTGCTGTAATAAACAGAGCTGTTAATTGCAGCAATTGAGGGGCTATAGCATGGTCGTTCCTGCTGTTGAAACAGCAGCCCTCTGGAGGAGGAGCAGCAAGCCTGATAGCTGCTACAGCCACTACGGTTCAATCCGCCTGTATCTTCGGATGGTACCCACAGTTTGTGCTGCTCTTTGCAGTGATATTGCCAGCTTTAAGCAGTTCCTGTGTTTCTGCCACCATTGTGCTAGCACAGCCGTTAACGAGAACACATGGTAAAGCAGATCAGGGAACTGGTCAAATTGGAAAATAGCTCTTGTGTTAGTTTTTTCAATACAGATGTTCCCTGAGCCATTTCCTGTGCGATGGCACTAACAGTTCCCTTGGCAGAGGGGGAGGAATTAGGAATGCTGTAGGATAGTCATTTGTGTTGACCAAGGTTTGCACTGTATTCCCACAGGCTGGCACAGTGAGCGTTGAATGCTTTTTACTTGTTTCTTTTTAAAAACACTTGTAATGTCATAGAGATACTATACTTGAAAGATCTTTTATAAAGGCTTTTTTGCAAAGACTGATACAGGTTTTCAAAAGGTAACTTTCCAGCCCAAAACAGAAACATAAAACTGATGCTGTGATTTCATGATCAGTGTAAGCTGACCTGCTCTTCTTCCCCCTCCAGAAGAGAGACGTGATCCCATCCATGCATTGCTGCTCATTTCTGCCCTTGTGGTACTTCCTTTTTTTGGCACAGAAATTCATGACTTGGGTTCAGAGGTGATCTAGATCAAAACACTCTAGGTCAGACTAGTTCACTGCACAAACGTTTGTGTTAGTTCAAGGGACGGGGTGGTGTAGGTGTTGGAATAAGCCAGGCAGGGAGGGACTGACTTTCAGGCTCTGGTTACCCAGCCACTTCACTCTGACATAAATTTAGCATGCTGACAAGAGGCAGTCTTACCTCTACCTCACCTGTGGGGCTTGTTCGTCTTCCGCACCACTCCCTCCTGTGTGTGCCAGCTCTAGTAGTCGTTGAGCTGCACGATGAGCCCTGATCAGGAAACTAATCCAGCTAAAAATTAACCTAGGCTAAGACTGGCCTGCTCCTTTTAGCAGCATGTAGACTTTATACTACATTAAAGTGATCATATGTTTGCAATCTCCATGTAGTATTGTTGCACGTCAGCTTAGAGTAGTCATGAACCTGCAGTTAATGGATGTACAGAAACATCAGCCAAATACATAGCTAGGTACTGGATTGACAGAGGTGGTTTTGTACTTGTTTCTTCTATGAGGTTGAACTGGTGAGCTAGCTTCAGGGTTTGCACTGTACATTCACAGCGCTTCTGAATTGAGCACTCTTGATTTCAGTCTCTTGTCTGTGCTCCAACTCGTATTTCCAGTAATTTCTTTGCTGACAAACATGTCTTCACATTATTCTAATTTCTAGGGTTTTCTAAATGCAAAAAGCTTACTGTTGTGCAAACAGAAATATTAGAGTGGTTCATATGTTTATTCTTTCACTGTAGTTTATAAAGGTTCTTTCTGTGGTAGGATTTGATTATTTAAGGTGGTCTTTTAAAAACTTTTCTTTTTAGACTTACAATAGCAGCATTAGGAGAAAAGCTTAATGATTACTGGAATGAAATGAAAACAAAGAAAAACGAAGAATATCCATTAGCTTTGCCAGTTGAAGAGATACAGTGAGTATCACTTCTAAATAGAAGGATTTTACATACTCTTATTACTGTTTTACACTCAGTCATGAAACTGAACTTTTCATGTGAAAGTTCTGATATTTTTTCCATTACAGAAAACAGCCTGATCAGACATGGGTACAATGTGATGCATGTCTGAAATGGCGGAAGCTGCCAGATGGAATAGAGCACTTGCCAGAAAAGTGGTACTGCTCACTGAACCCTGACCCACAATTCCGGTAAAATTAGATTTCGATGAATATCTAAATACTGCTTTCAGTTCTTATTTTATCACCTGTTATAAGCATGGATGTTAAGCTCTTTGTCGCGTTGTTGGTTCCCCCCCCCCCCCTCCTTGACTCAGGAACAGTAATGTGCCAGAAGAACCAGAAGATGATGACTTAATACATCCTACATATGAGAAAACTTACAAGAAAAAGTGAGTACTAGAGACTTTCTTACAAGTGTCTCAACACTAGAAAAGGAATGTAAAAACTAAATGCCCTTTTCTGTCACCTATGGTATAATTGCAACTCTTCTGGGAATATATCCAGCCAGAAAATAGTGCCCTGAAATCAAGACTTGATCGAGGCAGTGAATAGATAAATAGCACTATTCTTTTCTCTGTTATTAGCATGTTGGCATTACATTCAAATTTCTCTCTTTGACTTAATGCCTGTTTGCCCTCCTAAATCAAAATTAGGAAAGTCATAACGACAGGGGTCTCTCTCATGTAATAACTACTGAGGAGAGCAATGCAGCAATTGGTGTTCAGGTACAGCTCTCAGAGGGGCATTGTCTCATAGTAGTAAGTGGCATGAGGATAGTTTAGGATGTTAGAGAAGCAAGCTATTAGGGCTGTTAGGAGATCTTGTCTAGTTAACTTATTTTCAAGGTCCATGTTGAAGCAGCTGAATACCTCAATACATTTATTTAAGAATAAGAAGATTCTTAGCTAAGTTGTATGGAAAAAAACTTACTTGGCTAATTTTAACTAATGCTGGCTAGCATTCTAGAAGTGGGAGTTTGGGTTTTTTTCGATTTTTTAAAAATAAATCTTAATCTGAGAGAGAACTTTTTTGAAGTTAAGCTAACTTTAAGCTATACTAGCTTCTAAGTTTATGCAGAAAATTTTCATTCAGTAAACCAGAATATGTTCATTAGAACTTTATTCTGTCTAGCTGAGATAAGGAGTATTGTGTTTGCTTTTAGATTCTGAGGTTAGTTTGGTTTTATAATGAGTTAACATTTCGAATCTAAGCTCTTTTTTTTGTTTTTGTTTTTTTTTTTCCTTGCTGCTGTGCAGAGACAAGGAAAAACTGAAGAAGCGACTAGAGTACGGCCACCAGGTAACACTTGAAGTTGATAGGAAACTGACTTTGGTAGCAGAGTTGTTCTTGCTGGCAACAATACTATGCAGTTTGATTGAATAGGCCAGGCTTTGAGTTAGAGTTTGCTTCAGCTAGTGGCCAACTGACTGGTTCAACATCCTGTTTTGTTTTGATGGCTGTACAGGTTATACTCACTATTAGTAAATGAAAAATCCCCCGTCTTTGCTGTCCAATGATGGAAAATACACCATTGCTTTCTATGTAGTACTTCAGAAAGAGTTTGAGAGGGACAAAACCCTCTCACAAAATAGTGCTAGAAGAGATGTCAGTCACTCACACCTGTTTTTATGGCATGCCATCTAATTATTGAAAGTGGATTTGTTGTAGAGAGATGTGATGAGGATATGAAAGTAAAGATGCCCTTAAAATTGGGGTGGGGATGGACAGACTTGTAGTAGCTGTACTTCTGCAAGGAGGCACTCAAATTCACTTTAAATGCAGATTCAAGTCAACATGGTTGAATGATGAGAATGTGTAGATTGTAACTCAGAATCAAATTTCCTAAGTGTGATTTAGCACATTACTTTGAAAGCAACTTAAGCTAACCTAAGATCACTCCATTTCTGGAGAAGAGACTTTGCATATGCTGTTTTAACCTACATACTTCACTGTATTATTTTTCTGCCATTACTTTTACCCAAGTACAAAAGTAATTTCTAAAAGTAAAGTATTACTCATTTTAGACAAACTGAATTAATTATGAGCAGCTTTAACAGAGATGGCTGTCCCATACTTTGTGTATGATGTTCAGACTTCAGACAGATACAGCTTGGGAAAAGCTCTTGCCTGAGATTCTACATGGTGCTTTAAAATACCTGTATCTAGAGAAAGGCTTGTAACATCAGAAAGCTGCTTTCTGACAGCAATAAATCTGTGCATGGAGAGGAGTGTGCAGCTGGTGTACAGCATTCAAAGTCCTCTGAGAAATCTGCCAGAAGTCTGTAATTATGATATAGAGCTTGCTGCTTTCTAATATGTTGTATGTCTTAAACCAACATGAAGGAAATACTTCACACGCATCAGTAGAGTTTGGGGGGAGGGGTTGTGTGATCATTAAGTTAAGAAAACTGGGGTTTGCAACGTGGAGTCTAGTTAGCCTTTCTTACGGCAAAATACTGAGCCTGGGTTCAAGCAGATCCTTGTAGTATGCATAAGAAATGCTGGTCAGAACTCGAGGTGTTGGCAGATAGGAGAGGCAGATAGGAGAACTGTTTAAACCTATTCTGAAGAATCTACTAATGTCTGTTTCTTTTCATTCTTAACTAAAATTGTCTTAGATGAATAATGAAATGTTTTTAAAAACACCTGCTTCTTCAAGTAAAGACTTCAAAACATTCTCAGCTGTTAGTGGAAAGGAAGCCGTTCCAAGATCACTTTTACCAGAAACATCAAATGCTTCTGTCAAAAGACCTCTGCTTATTTTAAATAGATCGGTATCTTCACCTCATTCTGATTCTGATAACAGGTTAGTGAACCGGTACAAAGTAGATTCCTATTTATTTCCAAAACTAATAACTTGTTAATGAAAATTATGGTGTTGGGTGTAGTCCCATCTTCAGGTGATAGCTGCCAAAATTCATATGTCACTTTTGGGAGTATAGGAAGCAGCAGGTTGGTTAAAGGTACTTAGAAACCTTGTGAAGTACAAAAGTGAATGCAGCAAAAAATACTGTGCATTGGCAAGGAAAATTGCTTAGTGGTTTGTCTGTTGAGGAAAAGACTGTATTGTGTTAACCACGCTCAACAGTATGTTTTCCTTAAGCTCTGTTGGTTAAGGAACGGGTGCAGGGGGGTGTTCCTGCAAATACTGAGTCTGAGTCTGTTTCAAAATAATGTGTGAAGGTAATAATTTAGTGTGTGGATGTCAGCCACTTGTTTTCACAGGAAAGGTATTACTCTGGCCACACATCTTAAAGTACTATGCAGGGAGACATCTCTTTCTAGTTATTGAGTGGTAGTTTTTAATAGTGCTTACAGAAACACTAAACATAGTTTGAAACAAATGACTTTGCAGTATTTGAGCAATACAATAATCAGTTTAATATTTTGCTTCTCAGTCTGAAACGGAAGACACCTGGTTGCGTGACACCTGTGTCTTTAAAGACACCTCGATTAAATGACAAAACATTCAACAACCATGATGATGATGATGATGAAGATGTCATTATTTTAGAGGAGAGCAGTACTCCAAAGCCTTCAGCAGATTCTGATGTTCCTGTAGTAAAAACTGAATGTATTAACTTGGATCAAGAGAAGCAGAAAGAAAACTGTGATGTCGGAGAACCTTGCAGTGCAGCTACTTCAGAATCAAAAAGTGAACAGTTGACCTCGGCGACACAGACAGAGCTCCCAAACTTAGTTGTTAAAAAGGAAGAGGTGGAAGATGACACCGATATTCAAGTTCCCAGGGCAGAGATGGAAACTAAACAGCACAATGTTAAAGATGTTTCTGAGACATCTGTAGATCTTGGAAATGAACTGAAAAATCAGCTGCAATTATTAAACAAAGAAAAAGAAATGTACCAAAACAAATGTGAAGTATTAACCAAACAAGTAGAAACACTGGAACAGAGGATTTTAGAAATGAGTAATAAGTACGTAAAAAAAGAAATGTGCCATCAGTCAACTGAGACAATTTCTTCATTTGCAGAAGAAAATGTTCATGAAAGAAGTTTGGCAGAAGTGACCATTCTCTATGAACAGGCCTTAGAAGAAATAGCAAAACTAAAGGAACAATGCAGTACCCTGCAGAACTTAAAAACTGAATGCAGCAAGTGTGCTGATGGTGAAAATAAAAGCGAGGTAGATGAAATTGCTGTGCAACTGGACGATGTTTTCAGGCAACTGGACAAATGCAGCATTGAGAGAGACAGATATAAAAGTGAGGTATGTTTGTTAAAACAGTGATATTCTTCAAATTAACAATTAATTATTTTTATTTTTTAATGGGTGTTTGATAGCAGTTCTAGTACACAGTGTTGTGTAGTTCAGTCCACTAACTAATCAAGCCACCTAAAAGGGGGAAGAAATACTGAATTAGCCTAGGAGCTTCTGGTTTTTTGCTTCCATAGATAGAAATAAGAGAACTTGAGAGAGACTGCAAGGCTCCGAGTGGCTCTGACTGCAAGACAAGAGAGACTGAGCAGGCTTAGAGGGAGCACACATACAGTGGTTCAGCTGACAGCTGGCTATTTTAAAGCAGTTTGTCATATCTTAAAATTTCACTGAAAAGTTAATTAAAAACAGTCAATTTAAAGTTAAATGATTTAAATCTGTATAAGTTGTCTTTATTTTAATCCACCACAATTTTATTTGATACATAAAATTATTTTTATTTACTTGCCAGACTGAACTACTAGAAGTGGAAAAAAATCAAATTGCCTGTCAATGTGAAGAACTCAAAGCAGAAATCGCACAGTTAAAAGCTTCAATTCCACAAGTGGTAGCACGTGCAAATGATTCTACCACCAGTAATGTAGAAGACTCTGTAAATTTTTCTGATGGAGAAAGGTATCAATTTTGTTCTTTCTAGACTATATTTCAAGCAAGATTCTGGCTGGCTGATTGTATGTGAAGCATCTTGATGAAGGTCATGTCTGATAATCATATAATAAAATGTGATGCTTGGAATTCTTTTCTACTGCCTCTTGTGACTCCTAACGGTAACATTTTTTTATCAAGTGATTTATTTAATTTTTTTTATGATTTAGGTATTTGTGTGAGCAGGGTTGGCCATTGCACAATAGAATGCCATACTGACACTTCTTCAAATACTGAAATGTTACATAATTTCTAGATACGACTTACAGAACAAGGAGAGAGAAAGGAGACAGGAAAGAGGGTGATCATTAGCTTATGCTGTGTAAATGAACTTCACTTTTATATTCTATTTTTCTTTCTTGGATCAATAGTACTCTACTGAAAAGAGTTTGGGTTTGGTTTTGAAACTTACTTTTCCTGTAAGAACTTCTTGCTGCAGACCAATCCTATGGAACGAGGTTGTGTCCAGAGTGTATCTTTGAACTAAACGAGAGTTCAAGCTTACAAATAGAGAGCTTGCAGCTCTTGGTTAATAGAAATAGCAAACACACAAAAGAAGTACACGTACCAGATGGAAGCAGGGATGAGCAGTCCAGCAGGAATATAGGCACACTGCCTGGGCATGTGTGAATTGAAATGAATTGAAAGCCAGAGCTCAGCTGGAGTTAAAACTGGCAAGGCCTGTGAAGGGCAACCAGAAGGGCTTCTGTAAGCACAGTACCAGCAACAGGAGAACTAAGAAAAATGTGGGCCTGCTGCTCAGTGGGGCAGGTGCTTAGTAGCAAAGGACATGAGGTGGGTGAGGCACAAACTACTGAGGTACCCAGTATCTTCTTTGCCTTGGTTTTTACTGGTAAGGTCTGCCCTCTGGCCACCCAGGTTCCTGAGCCAAGTGGTAATCTTAGGGAGTGAAGCATTACCTGTAATAAAAGGTGACTGAATTAAGGGACCATTTAAGCAAATTCAACATACGCAAGTCTGTGGGACCAGATGAGATGCATCAGAGGGAACTGGCCAATTGATGGAGAGCTGGCCTTGTGATGATATCTCCAAAACGTTGTGGCAGTCAGCGTTCCTGGAAAAAGGCAGTCGTCATGCCCCTGTTTAGGACAGGCAGAACTACAGGCTGGTCAGTGTAGCCTCAGTCCCTGGGAAGACCATGGAGCAAATCTACCTGGAAGCCACCTGCAGCCCTATGATAGTCAAGGTGATTAGGAACAACCAGCATGGATTTACTGAGGGCACATCATGCCTTTGCAGCCTCATTGCCTTTTACATTGAGACGACCAGCTCTGTGGACCTTCATTTTAGCAAAGCTTTCAACGTGGGCTGCCATAATATCATGATAGTGAAGTTTGTGAGGTCCGGTTTGGATAGGTAGACTAGGAGGTGGGCCATAAAATTGGCCAGACTGCTGAGCTCATGGATCAATATCGAGGCCAGTAATGGTTAATGCCTTCATTAATGGCCTAGATAATGGAGCAAAATTAACTCAGTAAATTCATGACATCGACTTGGAGGGAACCATTGATACTCTGGAGGGTAGGGCTGCTGTTGAGGGACCTTGACAAATTGGAAAAATGGGCTGAAAGAAACCTCCTGGAAATTCAACAAAGGCAACTGCGAAGTTCTGCACCTGTGTTGGAAATACCCCGTGCAGTTGAACAAGCTGGAGACTACTCATAGGAAAGCAGCTTGGAAGAAGATGGCCTGTGATGCTGGTGGACTAGAAGTTGAATGTGAGTCAGCAGTGCGCTCTTGTGGTGGGAGAACCCAGTGCCTACTGGGCTACATTGGCAAGAGTTCAGCCAGCAGTTTGAGGGAAGTGATTCTCCCCTGCTGTTGGGCATTGTGAGACCAAACATGGAGTATTGTGTCCAGTTTTGGGCTCCCTGGTATATGAATGACACTGGCATATTGGAGCAAGTCTACTGAAGGGCCATCAAGATGGGTAGGGGCCTGGAGCATCTGCTACAGGAGGGGAAATAGCCTTACAAAGAGTGGGTTACCTTGAAATCCTATTGCTCTCTTCTGTTGCGTAATGAGAGGGTGTAGAAAAGACGAAGCTGGCCTCCTCTGCTCATGAGCACAGTGATAGGATGAGAGGCAATAGACGCAAGCTGCAACAAGGGAAATTCTGTTGAAATATTAGAGAAAAAAAGTGTTCACAGTGAGGGAAGTCAAACCTTGAAAAAGGGACCCGGGGAGATTGTGGAATCTCCCATCTTTGGAGATTTTCGAAACAGAAGAAGGTCCTAAGCAACCTGATCTGAGTTAGCCCTGCTTTGAATGTGTGTTGGGTGGGGCGGGGGGGGCAAGAGGAGGGGAGAATGGACTGGATGATTTCCAGAGATCCCTTTCAGTCTAATTTTTTCTGTGGTTAAATCTCCCCTTTATCTGCCAGCATTTCATTTTTTTCATACAGCATCTGACTTGTGCTTCCTAAAAGAATTAGCAAATATATGCAGGACTTAAAAGTAACTTCCACCACAAGTCCTATTGGGATATGATGGCACTGTGAAGGCTGGCTGCTGGAGATGATAAAGGAACTGATGGTAGAAGCAAACGCTCAAGAGAAGGGATGGGTGATTTGGAAGCAATTCGATCAGGAAGAGGACAGAGCAAGGGGATCCAGGAAAGAAAGCAAAAAGAGGAGGCATAGCATTTTCCCCGTACTGTAACTCTTACCTTATTTCCTCTTTGTATTTTAAAGCCTTTGGACAAACCACTCTTTCTTGACTTCTCTTCTTCTCTCTTCTTTTTCTCTTCCTTTGTTCCCATAGGTTGTAGTAGTTTGTGCTTCTAAATGTATAAAAATACTGGGGTTTAACGTTGTTTTGAGAAATAAAAAGGTGGTGTGGGATAAAGGATTGTGCCAGTGCCTATTTGCTAACTTAAATAAAAGCATTCAGAAATATTTCTGATCTGTTTTGGGAAAGGCAGAGTTCACTTTAGCCCTTGGTATTTGTTTGAAACTAAGGGAATGTACACCTTCAAAATTAAAACTCGAGAGGCTCAGCTTTGAAAAACTGCTAGATTTTGAAATTATCTTGATGCAGCTTTAATTGCGTCATTTTTTTGTTGGTTTATGGAAGTCATGTATGGAGTCTTTCCAGTATAGAGTATTAGCCCAGCTTTGTTAAATAAAGTACTGTGTATTTGAACGTAAAACTTCATCTACATCTAATCATATCTAATTATTTCTCCACAGCCTGAAACTACGCTCTCTTCGAGTCAATGTTGGACAACTTCTGGCTACAATCATGCCTGATCTAGATTTGCAGCAAGTGAATTATGATATTGATGTAGTAGATGAAATTTTAGGACAAGTTGTCGAACAAATGCATGAAATCAGTAGTACTTAATATCTTAAGACTTCAGCAGACTCTTACTTGATCTTCCATTATAACCTTTGTGTAGGTTCAAAATTGTATATACTGCTTCTTCACTTTATATATTTGACATAGTTTGATCAATAAGTGTATATACTCTACGCGTTTAGATGTTCCCACAGATGCAGTGGGTGTTATCTTCGCTTCCTCTTAAAGGAACACTGTCAATATTGACCAACCCTGATGTACTTAATTAAGGACTTTGCTTTTAAAATGTATTTGTAATTAAATTTGCAAATATTTTTATTATTAGGAATCTTAATACTTTTCTACAAAAGCTTTTTCGTTGACTTTTGATCTTATTTAAGCATTAATACTTGCAATTATTTCCTCTTCTAAAATCGAAGTAGTGGAATATATTAAAAATGCAAAAAAGAACCTTCCTTGACTTCCCTCTCAGAACAAACCTTAGTAGTGTTGTTGTATACTACAGTATTGCTTCATTGCTATCAGCAATGTTGTGTGTTGCATTAATGGGATAGAAAAGTAACTAGTAGATGAAAGTTTTGGCCATATGGGTAATATTTGTGTTTTACTACCAAAAGAAGAAAAATTCTTTAAGGGCTTTATCCTGAAAACTGATGATACTTTGACTCCCTTTTGGATTTTTTTGGTGTCACTAAAGAACATTATCTGTACGCAGTTTTGCAGCATAAACAATTCCATGGGATATGGCTAGGATATTTCAGCCTTTTCAGTGATGGAAACCACATGCCTGTTTGTCCTGCCCTTGCTACTTGATTCTTGTTTCCTACATCCGAGGACCTGGCTGTATTTGAGCACAGCTAGAGGGACCTTCAGTTCTACCCTGTAGTTCCCACTTGAGCACAGCAGTGCTGGTTTGCAAGTCCCAGGTATGTACCAGTACACGGCTTCGATAGTCAGATTTCACACACAGCTCTTGCCTGCTTTTTTCCAAGTCAGAGGCAGCTGGTGGAATGGGAAGCATCCTCGTGGACCATTGGAGGAGAACAAGCTGGGGTGGCATATCCAAAGCTAGGGTGGGATGCCTGGGCAACCTCTACTCTGCATCGAATGCTGCCGCTTGAGACCTGAAGGCCTTTTTTCAGGGAAGCCCAGTGCTGAACAGGATTGACACAGAGGTTCTGCGATGTATGCAAATGCTTATATATGTTATCTCAAAAAACAAATTGTTGCAGTATTAAACATACAGTCTGCCTTGGAGTCTTTCAGGCTGAGATGCGAGGGTGACGAGATTCGTCTCTGAAGCTTGCCTTCCTGTCAGAATGTACCGTGCTGAGTACGAATGGGTCAGACTCCTAAGTCCTTGATTAACGAGTTGAATGGAAGTACTTTGAAAAGGAGGCACACTTCCTTATCTGTGGTGGTAACAATCACAGAGTGAGCTAAAGCTGAAAATGTTAAAATATAACTTGTTTATGCTATCTAGAAGTTTAGACACCTTTTATTATCGGCAAGATAGAGGAGTCCCTCTTTTTTTCCCTCTTCTGTTTTTTTTCCGTAAATGTTTTACAGTGACTCTTAAGCCACTAGTTCTATGCTCTAATGCTCGTGCAAAAACTTCCTTGAAGAAATGGTACCGAGAGAAACCGATGTTACAATGGTGACAGTATTCTCAGCCAATTGCATGTTTCTCTTTTGAAGTCAGCAGGAATGAGAAGAAAGGTGGCAAAGATAGCAAATCCACCTTTTACTCTGTGGTGGTATTCGTCATCCGAACGGTGATCAAGAAAAATGGTTCCTGCTTTTAAAAAAAATTAAAAAAAAAAATAAAAATCATGAAATAGCATTCAATACGTTCATTCCTAGGAAGTGTCTTTTTTTATAAAGCCAACATTTTTGGCTTTTGCACTGCTACTGTCCTGACTTAATTAGATTATGTTCCTTTTAGTTGTAGTTCAGTCATTTTCTTTCGATGGATGGTATTTCAATTTTAAGATGCTATCTATTCTAGTATGCCAATAAGGGTAATGCAATACTGTTGTACTTTGTAATGGATAAATTTGAATGTTTGATTTTTTTAAGAGGTGGCTGTAATATAACTGTTTTTATTACTTTTAAAAAGTTTATATTTTCCATTTATTGGTGTGTAATTTTCCATTTCTTAATCATTATTTATTATGTTTCATCAGACTCTGTAGTTGAATTTCTTATAGATAGCTGGCAAAATATAGCATATATCTGTATTAAAAATGGCGCATTTACACTGTACATTTACACTTTGGAGAACAGTGGGCTAATGGAAATGGTTTTTATTTACTTGCTAAAATGTATTTTTTGTAAAAAATAAAAATAACACTATATAAATCTGAGTTTGCAGGATCAAAATTTGTATGTGATCAGATGCGATGTTTCTGTTTATAAATAAATCCTATGCAGAACGGCTCATGTTTCTGGCTTATTTTAAGTATTCGGTCTTACGAGAAAGCTGGCTCAGTCTGGTTTTGAGCAGAAGACTTGGGCGCAGCAAGCGTGCCCTCAGAGCAGGTAGGCATCCTAACTGAGCCCCAAGCCGGCTGGCTGGCTGTGCTGCTTCAGACGGTCAGTTTTGGGCAGGGAATTCTGTCACCCAATTACAAGACTGTTACTGTGACAGGATTTGGGGCAAAACTGTGTTTCAAGGCCTCGTTAGAGGGTGGTTGTCTCCGTGGTGCTAAGGCAGAAGTGATGGGAACGCAAAGGTAAAGACTAGGGAGGTGGGACCACCTGCCTCTTCGGGTTGACGGTAAGCTCCTGGGTCGGATCGGATCAGCTCTCCTCGTGAAATTTTACCCTTAGGCTAGTTGATCAGTTCCCCAGCATGAGAGGCTCAAGTTCTTTCAGATAGTTTTGTGGCGGAGGCAGGCCGTTCCTCCCTGACCAGTACTTGGTCGTCTGATACAGACGACTGATAAAGAGGCTGGAGTGTGCAAGGCATTGTTGTGGGAAGGGTTGCACCAGTACGGAAACGTTCTGGCTGTGGAAAAAGCAGTGCTGTTACAGTCCAGGGTATGTTTTAACTGAATTTCAAGGAAGTTCCTGGGTTTAATATATGGGTGTACTTCCATGCTTTCTGCTGCGTGAGTGACATTTCAAACCAAGCGCAAGGACTTGCGCTGTCCTGGCTTTCTAAGCCTAGTCATACTTGCATGGAAATCCTCATCGCCCTCTAGGTAGAAGTCCTCTTTCTTTTGAGAAAATAAAAATTAATCTGTATACAGTAAAACTTCATTTGTTCTCTTCTGCTTTCTCACCCGTCGTGTTAGGCAGTGTAATAACTGGTGCGGTCTTCGGAGTACAAGTTTTGGCTCTAACCGCGCGGCCAGTGGTTCTTTCCTCTCTTGGCATTGGGAAGACGACGAGAAGCAGCATAGCCGTAGGTGGTGGGGGAAGAAGGAAAAGCAGATGCCGGTTTCCAAGGATGTAATTTTTTATTCTTATTTCAAAGGGAAAGGTTTGCATTTGAAAGAAAGGGGAATTTTGGAGATCGGTTGGCCCTTTGACCCATTCTAAATGTAAAAACATCTCAAATACAGCAATGCCTCTTTTTTTCTTCTGGGGAGTGGGAGAGCTTTGGGCGTTTTTTGTTGTTTCTGTGGGGTTTTTTAATTGGGAGCAAGCTAGGGCAGGGCAAATACATCCTAGGCAGAAGAAAATGCAGGCAAAAATCCTAGCCAAAACGGCAACGCGGCCGGGTTCACGCATTTCCCCCCCGTTTTGCTTTTCCAGCGGGGGCGGGCAGGGCTGCCAAGTGCTGCGGCAGCCGCGC